TCAGAAAACTATCGGTTCAATCAGTGTATTGACGTTGCGATGATTTAGTCAAATAAAAGCAGAATAAAAGTTTTCTGTCTTTATTATACTGCTACTTCCTTACAGCTCGCACAGACTTTGTCATTAGTTCATTCTTTTTTTTATCTTTCGCTGGAAGGGAGAAAGGATCCTGTGTTAATTCGTACTCATCAGCTGCGTTGGTCGGTGAGTAGCAGATAATGATAGTGATCTTCTTATGGTGCGACAGTTGAAGACGAAGAACAGCTATGCGAGGGGAAAGGATCACGTATGAGTCGACGAGATGAACAATTGACGAGTGGACGACAAAGCCTACGCGGCCGACATTTCTTGACGGGGCTTTTTCTCCACGGATCACAAGGGTCCCGTTGTTTAGTTGGCGTATGTCAGCCTTCTTGATTTTGGTTTCTTGTAGTGCGATCACATGAAATTTAATACGATCTGCGACTACAAGAAGGGCGTGAAGATCGGCGTCTGTGGAGAGTATTCTGGCGTTATATGTGCATAGTAAGAAACAATCTCCGTGGCGTATCGTGCGCGTTATCGTGAGATCCGGTTCCAGTGACGTCCTGCGTAACCCGAGGTTTTGTGGCCTCTTACTGGTCGTCTCACCGCCTGACGGGAGCACCCAGTGTGCGAGGCACTGTGGCTGGGCTATTGCTGGTTATGCAACTTGGTCCTCCCTGGAGCCCTGACTTAACCTTGCAAGTGCATATCCAGATCTTCACCACGGTGTGGATCCGAGGGAAGTATGTTATCGGCGAAGAATCCTTCGCTTGATCTTCCTACTAGTTGACTCGGAGAAATGTTAAAACGAAAATCAGAAACAAAAGTAGGGATGAAAAATTAACCACAATACTCAAGGACTATGTAGAAGCCGAAGCTTGTAAAATTATGTTTCGAAAAACCGTCAGCATATGCACTGGAAGAGAGCAGAAAGAAGAATCCTTGAAATTGGCGCTGAAATTAGTCTTTTCGAATAGCTACGAAACTGTAGCTTCTTGAGGTAAGCATAGAGGAAAACCGGTTCCCTAAACGATAATTCTAGCGAGAACAAAGCTCCTTTCATTTTACCCTTTATTTAGAACGAAATAAGTGCAGTATGAAACGCTGCTTGAGAAGGACTGGTCTAGAGAATTCGGTAAAAGTGATTGAAATACCACCAAACACTCCAAAACGCCAGTCAGTTCGTAACCATATATATGACCTCTATGTAGAACGAAAAGTTTCATAATATGCGCTAAAGGTAGAGACGGTGATTGCATGAGTTCGGGTACAGTCTATCTGATCACTTGTAGAGCATCTTTTGACGAATACGTTGGCAAAACGAGAAGACGACTCTGCATCCGCTTAAAAGAACATCTAGTCGGTAGCTTTAAACTGAAATCAAACACTCTACAAAGCGCACATGAGAAAGAAACATAAAGAAGAAAAATTTGAAGTAAAAGTCACTGCCGTGGCAGAGGAATCCAAGATATCAGTGTGTAAAGCTCTCGAATTATTTTGGGGGAATTCCAAAAAATCAGAAATGAACCACAAGGAGGAGTGTTTAGTGATCATGGGTGACCTCACGTCATGCCTAAGGCGAATTCTTTGACCTGATCTGGGAACATTCCTAGCGCATTTACTACTTTGTGTGGATGCTCTCTACCAGTTAACTGGAAGACTTACAACGAATAAAACGCTGGATGTTTAAGAGGTGTTTCTTATGCGAATGCAAATTTATGTCTTAACCACTTTATTTACTGCCTACTCTTTTTAATGGCAAGGTATATTGCGAAATAAAACTTCAATGATGCTGAGATATTTGTAAAACTGCGGACCGCAGGTGTCTGCGGTGGGGAACGAACGTACTATTGTTCTTTCCGGGTAGTAACACGTTTACTACCACACCATGTGGGTCGTTCGTTTCGCCTATCTCTCAGCTAGTTCTAGTGCTATCAGCAATCACCCGTCGATGAGATAGACAAACGCTAACGTTCTCCGGATAATTTTCAGACTTTTACTACTTCTGCTACTTATCGTGTGAAAGTCGACGGTTCCCTACATTTGAATGAGACACATGATGAACGGTCACTAGCGGTTTCTATCGATTAGATTCGTTGGAACTTTGATTCTTTAAAACACTATCACCATAAATTTGAAACCTGCTTAACCTAAGCTCACGTCATAGAGAAGGTAAAAAGAACAAGCGATGAGAAACCTTTTCTCTTTTTTCTGTTTCGTCATTAACCTTAATGACGGAAGGCACGCCTAGCGCGGTGGTGAACTGCATGCAAGAGGTGCCCGCACAGTATCTTGCATTTGATGTCGGGTGATCTAATCATGGTAATGATAATAATAACAATAATAGTATTAATAATAAAATAAGGGATAAAGCTCTCGGCGAAGATCAATCGCTGAGAGATACGTCATGCATTCGAATTCATGGAGCACCGTTAGAGGTGAATGAATGGACATCTGGCCTTTACAATGACTCGCAGTGGTCTACCGATGTGTCGACCCAATGCTGCCATTCTCTCAGACAAGTCTGGTACCAATTCGCCGACCCCGGAGGGATGGAAGGCTTGGTGAGCCACTGGCCCGGGATCGACCTCATGTGTGTGTCGCAGCGTGCTTCCGACTACTGCTCCACCCGCAAGCCTAAAATTGGGATTAATGCGGCTGATAATATTCCTGGTGATTTACTTCATATGTTCTTTGCGATAACTACTGAAGGAGCGTGTAAGGACACGAGAAACGTTGAATCCGAGAGGAAAAAAACAAAGCTGAGACATGCAGGGACATGTCCAGGAAAAGGTAAGTTGAAATTCTGCTGATCATTGAAAACATATTTTTTCCCATAGCAGAACATGATTAATGTGAAACACAGTCTCATGGATGCTGCGATCTGAGCAAAACAGGGACTCTAGGTGAACTTTGAACCCACGATTAGCCTTTCTGGGGCCTCGCGTTATTCATTGCACCATCGAGGTCCTTGCTTTGCCTTTCTTTCGGCCAGTTTTCTACCTTTTACCCAGCAGTGCCATCAGCAAGCACCCGTCAATGAGAACGGTTTGGTGAGGAAAATTGGCGATTTAATCCAGTTAAGTTGGAGCCGCAGTAAAAATCACATCGTTTAACTTTTATTTGCTGCATAATATTTTTCCAGCATCGTTATGGTAAAAAACTACCTGAGAGGAAGGCAAAGCGAAGGCTTCGGTTGTGCAGTGAATAACACGTGAGCCCCGCAAAGAGTAATCGTAAGGGTCGAAGCTTACCTGGGGTTCTAAGTTTTGCTCACATCGCAGCATCATCGTTGCTGTGTTAGTATGATTGTCTCGTCTTTGGGATAGATTTTTCTATGTGTGCGTGGCTATATTTCATCGTACCTTTTTAACCTTTTTAAAGTTTTTGCTCAACTTTTTGTGAACAAATATGACGGTATTTCCTTAGTGTTGATTAAACGTATGATTTTCATAAGCAGACAAATCCCGAGTTTTTCGGTCAGCCGTTTAAAAGTTTTTTTAAACTTGTGGGAAATCTCTTCAAAGTTGTTACCTCTATTACGTGCTGTATCGCAGTATTGCTTCTTATAACTATCCCACCAGATCAATAAATATGCTTGGTGTTGGTTCAAAGTGGCAAAGCTTTCATTTAGAAACGGGCAACGAGTGGAGCAGTGGTAGTGATGTCGCCCAATAGTTCACATTCCTCGGCTCCTTCCCGGAACACCCCAGTGAAACTCTCAATCTCACCGCATTTGGGGAATTGATACCAAACTTTTCTGGGCTCTATTCTATCTACACCCACCACTCCACAAGAGCTCTGGCGAATATCTGGAAACGTCATAGCAGTACTATCTCAAGATTCCAGAGAGAATTGACCTGCCAACACTCAGCAGTATTCATGAGCACAACAAAAGCTTCAGTTTGCAAGCGATCATCTCGAAATCCGATGAGGTTTGCTGGATATAGATGCGAGAAAACGAGTTGAATGAAAGAAATACTGCGGTCCACAGAATATCTGATGTCGGATGGTGTACAAAACTGTCTTTCGGAGACCTACCGATGTCTCAAGTCAGTTAGTGTTCTTCATCTTCCCAAACAAATTTGGTAGAAAGTGGCCCGCACGGCTGGCAAGAGGGATAATATCAGGTTTATGACCACGTACATATCGTAGAATAGCTTTAACCAATGCGGTACACGAGCGTTTAATCACGTGAATAGATGATAACTGTTGAACATTTTACAGTTCTAGGTGATGGTTGCGAAAATATACAATGGAAATTTCCAAGATTTTTCTATGGAAAAATGGCTGAGGGCAATTCGTTATTTTCCTACATAAGTTTGGAATTTCTATGTAATACTGCACTGTGATGCCGCTGTTTTAGGGTATACCCAAAACAACGTGAGAGATTGTTGTCGTTTACAAGTCAACGAACAACAAACCGTGAGTTTTCATGTTGTCGCCATGTCGATGATGAGAAGAGGCAAACAAAGCGACGAAGACGGAATGCAATGCGTTACTTTCACAACGCGTTGCCTGATGCTGTGATCGTTATATAAAGGATGGTTAAAAAGATAGTTGAAGACCAAGCGAGACCCCGGGGTTGTCGCATCTATCCGTTTATTTGGCATGGTGTTAAGCTGTAGTTTGAATCATTCTAACTGTCACCCATATACAACAAGATAATAAGTGTTACAAAGCTTATAAAGGTTTCAACAGTATAAGGAACCAAAATTTTATATAGCCATGGGTTTCTTAAAAAAAAAAAAAAAAACGAAAACTTAGTGGCATAGTGGTTGCGGAATCCACAAACTCAAGGATTGCCAACTTCCATAGAGGACAAAAAAATTTACAAACAAGTGTTGAATGAAGTAAAAACAGATAAAACCTCTATAAAAGTTTTCGACAAATTCACAGAAAGCCACTGTTCGAAATACGTTACATTGTTAAGCACAGCATCAGTTAACAACAGAAAAGCTCCGTGAATCCCACTATTAGAGAGTATTTAGAAGTGAAGGTGCGAGATTCTGCGTGCCGAGTGTAACCGCCGTAGACATGCTTACCACCCACCGATGACTTAATACTCCAGAAAGGGATAACCTTAAATTTTTAAAAACAGTGACAATCCTTTTACCGATACAGAGAGAAAAACACTGACCTCATACTTGGTTCTTTCACGACCAGACGTCTTATCAATTCACTCGGGCCCTCGCTCACACATCTTGGAATCTATGAATAAGCAATCTGCCAATCACAATAAGCCTAACGACAGAAAGAGAATAGCAGCTATGGAAGTGCGGTACAATAACTTCGTTCTCTCCTATTTCGCAAGCGTTTGCAAAAACACTCTAGAGAATGGCATGGTACTACACAAAGTGACCGTAATGTAGAAAAAACATTAAAAGACCTTAAACTCACCACAAGACTACAAGTCATAATTGCTGAAAATGTTTCACTCTTGTCACGAAATTCAAACGGTGGTCGTCCTACGAGCATTTCGAATAAAAGAACGCCAATCGCCCAATTATCAACCTAAATGCGTTTAAAATAGCGTTGGCTAAAACAATATAGTACATCTGATTAGTAAATAAGCGCAGATTAAAGAAAGATATTAGACGAGATGCAAACATCTTATCCGGAATAAAAGAAGCTGGAGCAATCCTTGCTGTCATATATGTAGCTCACAACAAGTTGTGTTTTACAGTTCATTTTCCTGCGATACCTTTTGTATTACGCCGATAATTCTTTTAGCACATGTGATACACCAGTATTAGGGAGAGAAAAGGCGGTATGTATACGTTATGATATATAAAAACGTCTTCGTTCGGCTGAGTACCGTGGTAAATATCTGTCCAATCCACAATGAACGGCGATTATCTAGGCTGACAAATAGCTCTGACGAAAACGCGACACCTAGGTTACCTTGTGGTTCCAGAGGAAAGTATACAATAAATTTTAAATAACAATAACAATAAGCAACTTTCAGTACTCCTACAGTGAGAGCGTACGATGTCAGGCAACAGATAATAGGCCACAAAATCTCAGTTCTCCATTGCAGTCAGATCAAAACAACCTTTCCACAACATATAGGGTGCTTATTGCTCTACGTCTGCAACAATACATCTTCCGAGTCTCCAAAGATCATGCGCTTTATGAGGCTGCAAATCTCATCAGATCCTATTTGGTCACCCCATAAGAGGCAAGAAGCAAGAAGATAGATATACGCAAATAAACTCTCACCAACTGTAGAGAAAAGACCTCTACTAGAACATGTCGGTGGCAGACGCTTTGTCGTTCATTCCTCCTTTGCCCATCTTAACCCACGCGAGATCTTTTCACTTTTGTTAGCCATCCTTCAACTTAAGCTCACGCATCAAAAGACACTTACCAAATGGTGTTTCTGATAAACTGGTACTAGATTCATTTGTTAGTAGTTCCCTCCGAACAAAAATGGCCTGCAATCGCCTGTGTTGACGACTTGGAAACGCTCTAATAGTGTTATACCAGGACTAGAAAGTGATAGTCCACTCGAAAAGCATCCAACGATTCCCATAAGGAAGACAAAGTCCTCAAACAACAGCCAACTCCGTGCAAATCTGAAGACCCTCGTGTATGACAGGTGAAGCATGAAACGAATAAACGAACGGCTACCATCAGCATAATATAAAGCTAAATAGCTATCGTGGTTCATCCATGAGCAATGCGCCAAACATTCGACTTCCAAAGAATCGTGTGGAGGTGATTGAATGCATATCTGGCCTTTACAATGAGTCGCGGCGGCCTATCCATGTATCGAATGAGTGCTGCTATCCTCTCAGAAAACTCTGGACATCTAGCACCAATTTGCCACCCTCGAAGGGTTGGAAGGCTTGGTGAGCCATGGGCGTGAGCATCGATCCCAAATGTGTGTTGCAGCGCGTCCTCGATCACTGCACCACACACGCCCCAGCATAATATGGCGTCGAGAAATACGTAGATTTTGAAGAAAACAGTTAATCATTACGAAAAAAAACATACAGTGTGGTCATAGGTGTCGCCATTTATCATTTCTGGAGGCAAGTAATCCAAGGTACCACAAATGGTCTCACGGCGTGAATGAGCAGATACGACAGCCCAACCGAAGTCGGCAATCTAACAAAAGAATTACAAGTTCTCATCTTTGCTAGACGTTAAAGTTAAATCCTCTGCGGAAGTGCACTCTAAAGCATTTCGTACAGAGACATAAAATGAAGAAATAGGTTGGCTTTGGTTTAATCGGAGGAATCACATGATATTCCGAGAATAAAGAACGGAAAATTACGCTGTTTTCTACGTTTTTTATGATTCGTTGACCAAAATAACAACTGTTGGAAGCATATGGTATGTAAACACGCTCGACCAAAACAGTTTACTAAACATGTGTTATATCTTGCCTTTAAATTTCTGTTCTTATCAAGAAGGATATTCTCCGGCTTTATATCACGGTGAATGACTCGTTTCGCATGACAATAGCTCAGAGCATCCGCCAACTGACGAACGTATCTGAAGCCAATTGTTTTATCCGCATAGGGAAAGAAAAGTTGTTAACAAAGCACTTAATATGAGCAAGTTCTGTTTCTTTCTTCTTCAAGTGTAGATAAACTGCGAACGGTTAACAAAATTCAGTTCGCAAGCTCGAAGCCAAACTGACGCTCCGAGTTCTGCACACATATAAGCATCCTGTTGCTGTATTCCACACAACATTCTGCCATGAAACAAATGCCAGAAAATGAAGGTTAAGACGTTGCAAATTCAGTCATTTTCCGATGTGGCGAAATTACTTGAACACGTCATTGAACGACCAAGAATGCTCACATGGGAGCATTTTACTTTCTTATTTACATCACCAGTCGTAACACCCTGAGCAGATTTCAGCTTCTTCGTTCGACTCGCCATATCAAATCCACCATCCACAGAAGTCACTGGATTTGCTGGTGAGTTTGGCTGCTATTTAGAGATTTCACTTTTCGATGAATCCCACTGAATTGTGGTCGAATTATTTCTCCGTTGAGTTTGGAACCGTTCAATCAGAAAACTCCTGAGTCTTCACCATAGGCAGTTGCTAGCGGTTCTGAATTAGACAGAGCTCAATTTTCGACACGTATCATCGGCTCTGATGAAGACGAAGACGTCAAAACGTTAGCCCAAATAAAAATGTTTATCAACCTCGTGCAAGCTTGACAGTTTAGAAACATGGAGAGAGCTCATTCCAATCAAGTACGATGCTAAAATTCCAACATCAGAGGGAGGAAACTTGGTCCGGAGCGGAATCGCACCACTGAGTATGTGCGTGTGGGACGGCATTTCTAGTAAAAACGATCGGAGTTAAATACAAACATTTTAAACCTCCGACATCTCACATATATCGTACAATTAACAGGATTATTGATGACAGAGGTGCGAAATCAAATCTGTGCTTACTTGGCTGCTTCGTGCTCATCTAACTTCCCTTTCTTCTTCATACGACTGTGTAGCTCCCCACCTTCGGCAAACTCCAAAATAATGTACACTCGTTGTTGGTCATGAAAATAGCCCTTCAGCCGTAGAATATTAGGATGCCTAAATACCGTAAAAGTATCCAGAAACATTCCAGCGTTCTTTCAGACGATGTAAACATATGTTCGCCTACTTTAGATGATATTGTATTTCAATCTCACGTTTCACCTGATGCATCACATTGTGCTTCTTAAGCTGGTCCTTGAAGAGAACCTGAATAGTGCGACTGAAAAACCACATTGGAATACCACTATAATGATGCTGAGGTAACCACAATGGTGCTAAGATATCTGCAAAACTTCAGACCTCAGGTATCAGCGGTGGAGAACGAACGTGCTATTATCCTTTCCGGGGGCTAACGTATTCACCACCACACCATGCGGGTCCTTCGTTCCGCCTGTCTCTCAGCTAATTCTAAAGATCAGCGTCATCAGCAATCACCCGTCAACGGAAGATCCCGCATGATCTGGTGATGAACGCGTTAGCACCCGGAAAGGGTAACGGTGTGTTCGTTCCCCACAGCAGCAACCTGCGTTCCGGAGTTTTACAAATATCTCAGCAACATTGTGGTTGTTTCACACATAATATCCTGCTATAGAAAATTATAGTAGGCAGTAAATAAAAAGTTAACATTGATGCTGAGATATCTGCAAAACTTCGGACCGCAGGTGTCTGCGACTGGGATCGAACCGCGGTATCGCCCTTTCCAGGTGGTAACGTGTTCACGACCACACAAGCCATTGGGGCTCTTCGTTTCGCCTCGCTCTGAGTTAGTTTCCTATATACCAGTGCCGTCAGCAAACATGCATCCGAAGGATTGATCCAGGGAGCACAAATCCCCATTGAACCCAGTGATTATGTTGGAATACACTAAGGATAACAACTACTGAACGAAATTCGGCGATGTACTAATAATTCCGTGGAAGCAGTATGCAAATGCTAAATATCGTTTCATTCTGGCTTGAAGAATCCCTTGCATAAATCGATGCACCCTTTCAAAAATCGATAAGCCTGGAAATCACGTGCCTTTAATGCGACAACGACCTTCTCTTCTTTCGAACGGGCAAGGAACACGGACCCAAATTTCCCTCTCCCTAGAGGACGACCCACGTCGAAATCATCAATAACCCAGGTCCTTGAGATCTGCTGTGATCTGAAATTGAAATCGAATAATTCAAAGGAGAGCAGCAACATTTGTGTCAAATAGAAGACCGAACAGAACGAATCAGATGTAAAGACGAATGAAAAGCCTACTCGATTTTTGCACCCTCCGAGTTTACAGCGTTAGAGTCTCCAGAATTATGACTAGCTTCTCCCTACAAATGGCCGCTTACTATTTGAAGCACAGTACCGTAAAATTGGATCGAAGTAGTACGAACTTGTGTTCCAGCCACTTGCCGCTCCACTGTCTCGGCCATTTCAAATGTTTGGGGTTACGAGACGTTAAACTGGTTAACGAGAAGGGAAGGTATGAATGAAAATTACGACCGAGCACTAGAACACAACGACTGTAAGCAACCACTCCTTCAAGGTGAAAACTAGAAATTTCCATATGAAGAGCGATGAAGAATTTACCGCCATGAGATCACAATCGTAAACAGAGCACGCTATCTGTTAGAAGTTATCTGTTATGATAAGAAGCACTTTATGAAATTGTTCTCAGTAGTACACCTTGCGATAAAGTACTAACTGGTGATATTGAAGAGATGCTCTCATTGAATTCTACAGCCCTCATAATGGAAACGTATTCAAAAACTTGTCAGCTCATATCATGCTCACTGTGGAATTCTGCGGACTTTTCTTTTCCATCACTGTTCCTAACCGATCTAAAGGTGTTTCCAGAAGGGCTGAAATCTCCTGGGAATATCAGGACACTGCAGTTCATCAGAATTTACACTGCAGTTAATTGTTACATGCCGAAGCCTATGAGATGACTAAACAGTGAATCTTTTCAACTTGGTCACGTTGTATTATTGACTTCTATTACTTGTTCCTTCTAATAAGAGTACACCTCCCAATGGTTTGTCATCTCATTGTGGCTGGAAAGTATTCCTGGGTATCGGAACTGCGACGTGCAGCGGAGGGACTCATCCCCGAGCAGAATCTCCCATGCTGAGTCCGGCGTTTTCATCAGGAAACCCAGTAAGCCAATACCGGAATCCACCACCGTCCTTGTATCAAACTATTCGCATGGTGGCAAATCTCTCTCCGATCCACAAGGGCGGTGACTGTTTGTGGTCGTAACGACCTGGGGTAGACTTTGGCCTGGCTGACCTGAGGCCAGGGAACCACAATGGCTAAACCAGCAAAACTCCGAAAAAATCGAAAGCATGCTGAGACCCGCACAACCAGTGAAGACAGGTCATCCAAATATTCAAGTATGGAAGCAATTACGGTTGAACTATTCTGCTTTTAAGTTGCGCAGTATTCAATCCTTCGCAGGTCTTTTCTCAAAAGACTGAAAGGTTGCTCGACGGCTAATTTCGGTAGGTAGCAGTCCTTTAAAGAGTGAACAGTCGATGACGCTTCGGTTATTTGGCCGTCGTCATTCCGTTTGCACTTCCGCTTTGTGATCGAAAGCCTAGCCCTGTTATATTTGGACAGTCGGAAGACGCTGCTTGTTACTTGTAGTTCGTAAAGTCATCTAGAGTAAAAAAAGAAAAACTCTCCTTGTTGATCAATCCCCAAGGTATGTGCCGTGCATTCGACTTCATTACGCATCGTCAGAGGTGATTGAGCGCATATCTGGCCTTTGTAATGGCTCGCAGTGCCTTAGCGACGTATCGAACTAGTGATGCTATCCTCTCAGGCAGACCTGGTACCAATTTACCGAGACCGAAGGGAGGGAAGGCTTGGTGAACCAAAGACACGGGGATCGATCCCGTGTGTATTAGAAGGCGTCTCAGCCCACTGCTCTACACACACTCTGATCTGAAGTCGTCACGCATTGGTTAAGTACTTCCTTTCAGAAACATGAGCTAATGGTCGTAGGTACCAAGATGGTTTCTACCCGCTTTGTTTTCTCAGGTTTCTGGGAGTTTCGCATACAGTTAGGCCTACATTCAGCATTGTTATTAACTTTTTTCTTCATGTAACTCCTTTGTAGGTGTTCGTTATTTACGTTCCTGCTAGTGATCGTTCAAATGTTCACTCTCCCTTATTTTTACACGGTGCCCTCTACCCCTTCATACCGGGTTTTCGTCCAAGTTTGGTTCAGTGTAATGAGAATCTTGTGCCATCGTGTGGAAAATGGGTGCCATTCACTTCTGTAAGCAAGGTGAAATTTGAATTTGTCGCTTTTTGATGCATTTTTTCAGTATTAAGAAGATCCAAGAAGGTCCATAGTAATTGCAGTGCACCAAGAATGGCACCCCGAAGGGCGGTGATTCGTTGTCAGCGACCTCAACGGACCACCTCATACGCTTTCGCCATGTTCGACCAGGTGTGGATTCAGATACGATTTCACAGCATTTCGCTTTCTATGTTTTAATGTTCGATGTCGCCTTTTTTCGAAATTGATTACTTTGGCCAAGGTAATTCTTTTTTAAGGAGTTCACGGAAGTGCTTAAGACAATCGATCGAACTAGGGACGGTTTCATCGATCATGCTGACCTCGGGAAATGTTTGCGTCACTAGGTACTTGAGCGTGTTCTTTTCGACACCTTTCTCAAGAGCAGCTGAAATTGAGTCAATATTTAATGAGTAGTTTCTCGAGATGTAGTGATAAATGAGACTCCTAGAACTATGAGTTTCACTAGGTGTTTGACCTTTTTTGGAGAAAAGTTGACCGCTAAAACATCACTCTTCTCCTTAACCTCTAGTATGAGTAACTGGGCTTTCCTATGTTTCGAATTTCTAGGTAATGATTCAGAAGAAGTCATTCACAACACTTTCCAACGTTTTTACGAGGAGCATTCTGATGAATTAAGCGAGGATTGAATTCCTGAGCTTCTTACCACAATGGGTGACCGGCACACCCACGCACAGGTTGATCTCAAATCACTTTAACATTACCATATCCTTCACTACGTTCTCTTTCTTCAACAGTTCCTTTGGAGTACTGCATTGCAGCATGATTTCCCCGTAACATTTTCATCAACTTCCTTCACTTTTCTGTCGACAATTTCATTTCTATCCTTATTTTACTTTGTATTTAGTCTAACGCTGGGTCTGCTTCTGCGGTTTTTTTAGCTCCTTCGTTTACTGTTACTTACTTGGATAGTTGGACGGTCTTTTTTCGCAAGTATTGTGTGCTCGAGCACATCTTCCATTCGATCACGCCATCGTCGTCCGTACTGTTGGTGGTCTGCTTTGAACACAGTGACTTCAATGAGGCACATTCGATGATCTAGAGGTGATTTTCGAATACGAATACAATGGGTGGTCAACTTAAGCCACGAATAAGTCCCTCCACCATTTAGATGGTTGTTCAAGAAGACGTTTGAATCTCCTTGATATCCACTTCACAGTTCCTTTTGACTGTCAACCACCTTTTCTCCTTAGTATACGACCTGGCCATGCCTTCCTGTCGATCTGGCCTCTCGAAGATGGTATGGGTTCCGAAGAACTTAACTGCACATTCCGGATAGATGTTGTGAGTTTTGATGGAACGTCAGAGAAAATCGTTCAAGCGATCATGGCTGGTGTGGGATTGAAGTGTGTCTCCGTCTTCGCTGCAAGCCGGATCCCAGAGAACATCATTGAATCAAAACTTAAGCAACTTCTTCACTCTTTCGTGACTCTAGTATTAATAGCTCAATTTGTGTTTTTGTATAACCGTTGTTGTGGTTTTATTTGCTCTGTGGTATGGTTTTCTAACACGCCAACATGCGCCGAGTCGCTTTTGACTGTAAAAAATAAATTTGTGTTGTAATATCTGTCACATCTTTTAAGACCTGAAATTGCTAAGGATTTCCTATAACTAGAAGCAGATCTGTTTTAGTTGTCGATGGCGAGGCTTTTATTATTGGCGCTGCTGAATAAATTTTGTTTATTAAGCATTCGTTCTATTGTTGAATTTTTCAACATAGCTTTACTATCCAAATTTAGGACTTCTTGTTAATTTTCTTCCTCTCGTCCTATTTGCTGTTTTGCTTCTTTACGCACTGTTTTGTCCTTACCTGCATTGAAACTTTCTAGCTGCTATATTTACTTTAGTTCATATTGCTTGAAAATTTTGTTACAATCTCTTAGTTATACGACTTTTAGGCTTAGAGAAAAGGGGATAGATTGACATTTCTAAAGCAGCCTATAAAAATATTCGTTCATTAAAGTGTATTAAGAAATGAGCGTGTGTGACGCAGTGGTCGGAACTCTGCAATACACATGGGATCGAGCTGATATATTTATTTATATAATCTTATAAACTGGTCTTTTTCTGTTAATGCGAAGTTAACATAGGTTTCCTTTGTCAATGTCGTCGTTGTTACTGATGTTGTTGGTCGATGGTTGACGTTCCGGCGATTTCGCCTTCCTCACTGTCGTGCTTTTGCTCGCCCTTCCGAGTTTCACTCGTAACAGCACAGCTCTGAGGAAGGCGAAATTGCCTAAACGTCAGCCATCGACCAACAGCGCCAGCAACAACGACATCGACAACGGAAACCTAAATCAATCTCGCATCACCTCAAAAACATCAACTTATAAAATCATATAAGTAAGTCCTCGTATTTTTTTTTTGAGCAAACGCGAGGTGTTATTATTTATTCACGAATAAGCTGACGTTTCGGCGGATTTCGCCTTCCTTAGAGCCTGGAAAGGTCAAGTTGACAGCAATCTACTCAGCCAGACGCCTCCATAACCAAACAAAGAAACTCTAAACCAAGATTTCAAACACTTTGAACACAGCTTTGCACACCGCTTTCTATGAGGTTTCCACTAAGTATGCCACGTAGAGACCAACCGCACAGAAATCACATGGAAGTATAATGTTCCCCCCACATCAGATAAGCAGTTTTATATACTGCCCTATATCACGCGTGATAATGAGGCATTCTTCCCTGCAGTTCATTTTCGGATTTCTGGAATTAATCCAGAGTGCCTCGAGAGTTTTTCGCGCCTGTGTAAGAACACACGTACGAGAATCGTGACACATACTTCGAAGTCGTCCCGTTATGTCTTTGGGTCCTATGCGTGCCTAGCGGGGTATTTGGTCTATTTTTGCCGGCTAGGTGTTCTTTCATGCGGACACAGAGGGGTCTACCCGTTTCGCCAATGTATTCGTCACCACACGTTTTACAGGAGATCAGATAAACTATACCCGAGCTCATGCAATCACCGTCTCTTCCACTGGGGCAAATTATGCAATTTTGAGTTGCACATAGACGGTCACATAGGCGGTTACGAACTAGCTGGCGCTTAAGATTACTCGGTGGTATTTCAACTACGCTTACCGAATTCTCTAAGCTCACCCTTCTTAAGCAGCGTTTTATAGCAGTACTTATATCATTTGAGATGAGGGGTAGGATAAACGGGACCCTTCTATGGCTAGAGTTGTCGTTTGGAGGCCTAGGATTTCCTCTACGCCTATCCTGAGCTACAGTTTCGTAGCCATTAGAAATGGCTATTTGCCGTGCCAAGTTCCGGGACTCCTCTCTCTGCTCTCTTCCCGTGCACACGTTGGTTGCTGTTCGAAACATGTTTCTTATAAGCGCCCTTTTCGTGTGAGAGGGGTGAGAAGATAAGTAATGAACCAAGATGCTTTTACTACTTGGCTTTCGGTACCACTTTGTAATGTAGCCATTTTCTGACATTAGACAAATAGGCATTGAATCCAGTTAAGCTAAGACTGTGGTGGAAATCACAATGTTAATTTTTTATTTACTGCCTACTATATTTTTTCACGGCAGCGTATTATGTGAAATGCAACCAGAATGATCCTGAACTGAGAGAAAAGCGAGAGGAAGGAGCCGAATAGTGTAGTTGTGAGCTCGTTAACCCCCGGAAAAAGTAATAGCGGGGTCGATCTCCACTGCAGATACCTGCGGTCCGGAGTTTTGCAAATATCTCTGTATCTTTATGGTCGTAATTAACATAATATCCTATCGTGAAAAATTGTAGTGGGCAGTAAACAAATAGATTTAGACTTAGTTTTGGCAAGTGGAATGTACGGTTCTAAAAACGAAGTACAACTAAGAATTGAATAGGTAGAAGCTCTTGAACGAAAAAAAGACAAACTTTTGTTAAGTAGTACCTTTTGCGCTTCAGTGATTTTTCAACGTTCAAGATTCTAGAAGATTTGATAAGGAAAAAGAGAATTGGAAGTTATTAATTAGTTTGCCGGGAGCGGAAACCGATCTCTTCGATTCGAGTGGTCAAGTCGTGTTACTGTGACCCGGTTGTATTGTTCGTCAGCAGTGAAGGCCTTTGATCCTTCTCCACGGACGTCTATTCGAAATGGTGAACCAAAAGAAGTACCGTCCGCATCAGTGATCGATAGAGTAAGAATACTATGACCAGACATCACACCCTCCTGAAACACTCTCTATTCAAAATACGCAGAGGATATGGTCATTACTATTAGGTTTGTGCGAGTTTACGCTTGTCTATGTACGGTTCTAAGAAGTATGGATGAATCAAAAAATCTGCTCAAGAGATCGTGTACTGTGCAAAGCATGAAGTCTCGGCTGCTTCCAAACAAATTGTAGATCTTCTAAAAAATAATATTACACCCGATTAATGTGGGAAAAGTGAGATACACTACTTATGCTTAAGATTATATTACAGCACGATTTTTAAGGCCAAGAAGTAAATGTAGGAGTATTCGACCTATCGTGGACAAGATAGTGTAGAAGTTCAGAATTACTCTGAGAGCGTTATTTTAAATCTAAGGGATCTCTTCTCCAGGCACGGGAATTTTTGAAAAGTCTGTTACTTTAATGTACCAATACTACTCCATCCACGAAAATGGCTGCAGTAGGCAAACACCGGTGCATTGCCATATATGTTGTTCCCATCGATCACAGCGGTGACCATAGGTCTTTGAGCTGACTCACCGCTATCGTGCGCCTCAACATGAAGACGATAATTGGGCTTCTGAAAATGGTATTTTGAACTACTTTGAACCTTTATTACAAGCATAAGAATATCATCACCATAAAGAAACAAGCTGAGGGCAGCTTAACCTAAGACACATGACCGTAAGTGACAACAATTTCGCTTTTCCAAAATGTAACTCTTTGGCCAGTTTAAGAACTAGACAATAAGTGATTCGATTATTACAAATTCACAATTCATAGCAATTAGGTTAAAAGTTATTTCCTCTATCTAACTCAACTATTGTGGCTTCCATTCTCTCTTAACATATAGCTTAGCGTCTCCCCGGTATCACCTTGTATAGCTCGCAACCTCATCATCATGTAACCAACGGATTCCGATTCCATCATATTAACAACAAAATCCGACACACTAAGTAAACCATGTGCAGAATTCAATTCCGCTACTTGCAGACATAACGTACAAGTTTAGCCTTTTCCGTAATATATGAATTCCCACCATTCAGAAAACATTTCTTGACTAAATTCTACCTGAACAAGGAAAGAGGAAGATAAAGAATAAAAATACTTCGTAAAATAATATTTCATTGCAAGAAAAAAGAAGAATGATGTAGTGAAGAGCAATGTACAAAAAAACAGTAAACCTGTAGAATATATTCGCTCTTCTCGAGTGCAAGTGGATTGTCGTTCTCATCAACTGCTGTGTTACATACCACCGCTGAAGCAACAGATGATAAAAGAGAGTATCAAAAAAAATGAAATCGATAATTCTACGGGCTTTAAAGGCAGCTCTGAAAAAATGGGCCAATTTCTACCACCACTATTCCTTACCTAAACGAGCTCAGAATCTCGAACTTGAGTACACTAAGCACATACTCTTGCTTCTGCTCTCAATCCAGCGGTCGATCTGCTGCATTTTTGTTGGTTTAGCCACTGTGCTTCCCCGGAGACTACCCAGATTCTTCCACAGGCCGTCACCACCACAGGGAGTCGGCGTGGTTATGGATTGGGGAGAGATTTGCCACCATGCGACTACTTTGATACCAAAACGGTAGTTGGTCCTGGTATTAGTCCACTCAGCTGGGCTTCTGGATAGAAAAGGAAGACTCCTCAGCTAGGAAGGCCCTGCTGATGGGACGAATTCCGCGTTGTACGTCGGAGCCCGACACCCATGAACACCCCTAGCCACGATGAGGTGACAAACCGTTGAGAAGTACCGATTGTTGCTGTATAAAACTCGAACACCTCATGAAAAAGAAAACGTGACGTTTTTAAATGCAATTTCATTAAGAATTCCACTTTACTACACTTTCATAACAACCATGACTACTGAATTATTTATTCATCTACTCCGTGGATAAGAAGGAACAAGCCAGAATAACATGAACCATTCCTGCCTTTTATATATGGAACAGACGTCGGCTCCAATGATAAAGTTGGACGGCGAAGTATGGCGAAACAAACTGTCGACAGCATGCACGTCGGTCACGAAATATCTTTTAGTTTGACCTGCTGGATCGTTTTCTCGTAGAGAAACGAGTGGACGGACATACGGTCACAAATCTGAACAAAATTAAAGCAAGTCGTTTCCAAGGGTGAGGTACCGAGGTTCCTATTTGCCTGTAAAACTTCTAAGCAATGAGAATCTTGTAGCATCGAACAAAGAATGTTTTCAAAAAATCGTAAAAATAAGGTATCAATTATATTTAGTAAAAATATGCAGCTAACTATAGAAGCATTACAAATAGGGCCCACGGAGTGCTGGTTATAGACACAGTAGTTGATCACCGATGTTGGTGTTGAATGTTTGAAAAGAACTCTTTATCCTATCTTTCATAATTTTTCGCTAATGCCTTTGAAAACAGATCTGCAACCACTTATATTATCGTGTAAAACATTCAGAATCTATCAAGTTACTCTTTCACATAGATCGGATGGTTTGCTTGTGCTGAGCATTGATTAGAATCTCAACATCGTTTTCGACTCTGTGGAAACGTCGTTCTGTCGCAAAACATCTTGATTAGTATATTTTTTTAAAACATACCTCTACTCTCACCTAGGAAACAATGGTATTCTCAAATTTTCATCACTAATCGTTTCTTCTCACCATCGGAAGATTTGGGCGCGCTACAATAACAGTTCCACTGAGTGAAGTTGAATGACGAAGTTATCCAGTGCGACGTCCTTGGGAGCAGCGAGCTCTGGTTCCACCTTCTTAGTCGAGAGGTCTGACCATCGTGTAGCCGGGTGCCACGTCGACGTTTAATAGTATTGGGATCCACTCAGTAACGAGTACCTCTTTCTCGTTCGCAGATGGGAGTAGCGGGCTAATGTTCGCCCACTGTGGCGGATGCGGCAACAGTGCACACCTAGCACTACCCATTATGTCGATTCTTTCGAGCCATTCCAAAAAATAGCTGGTAGCGATAGCAAATCCGAGGTTTGCTGAGCAAATATGGGAGTCACTTCCATCAGCGAGTGCTTGTATGGCATTAGCGGACCGCGCCTTTCCCAGAGGAGATCACGTGCACTTTTTCCTAGTTCTCAACAGCTCTCATACCATCATCCTCTCTTTATTCTTTTAAAGGCACAAAATGGACGGTTGAATGAAGCAAGTGAGACTCTACGATTTTCCAGCGACAAAATCACCTAATGCTAAGCAAACTAGGGGGAGGGGGGAGGGGGGGGATGTTCTAGCAATATCGTGAAAGTTTTGGATATGCGTGTGCTCCTGGATGAATGCCCTTGAAGACAAGCTGTTTCGATGAAATTCAATGAAAAATGCTATTCCCAGCAATTAACACAAAGCATTTTCATAGGGGAACGACATTTTTTTTCCACACTCGGTAAACCAGAACCAACGACATCCACAATTTTACCGTCAAACGCTTGTTGTATTTTTCCATGATGAAATTTCTAATTTTTTATGGATTGTTTTGATCAACAGAATCGATACTGGCAAAAAAGGACCCACATGGTGTGATGGTGAACGCGTTAGCCCCCGGAAAGGGTTATAGCACGTTCGTTCCCCACCGCAGACACCTGCGATCCGGAGTTTTGCAAATATCTCAACATCATTGTGGTTGTTTCACAAATAATAACCTGCCATGAAAACTTGTAAAAGGCAGTAAATAAAGAGTCAACATTATGAATCAACACTGTTATGCAGCTCTTAATACATTGATCACGAAAAAATTCGCAGTACTTGCTGGTCTGTGGATATTTCCAGTCAAAGGACTTGTTACCATTCTGCTCAATTTTAAAGAAGACATTATGGTCTGCCCGTCTGTTTGTTGTTGTGTTTGCATCCAGAAGTAAGTGTAAGAAAACTGCAGAAGAAAGCAGTGTGTTTGCGAAGCGAAATCTTCGCCCTCCTAAGAAAACATATGGTTCCCAGGATCGACTTTCTATTAAGCTCGGCATTGGAGTGTGAATGCGTCGTTTTCTTGTTCAGCAATCGCGAGGTTGTTAAACAGCATTCATTTACTTCCATAGAAAAACAATACGATACAACAGTAGCTGACGTTTCGGCAGTATCGCCTTCTTCAGAGCCTGGATGGGTATACTGATATACAAGTTACTAGGCCAAATGCTTCAATAACACAAAAAGACGAAAAACTCTATGGTAGTTACATGATCAACAGCTTCTCGAAAAACTCACCGCTCTCTACGTGACTTCCAATGAGGATGTTTAGAACAGCTGATTATAGTCGCATGTGGCTGATGACTGCACCACGCCACATCAGATATTGATGCGTACATACGGGGTCAGGTCACGTGTAACCTCTGGGCATTCCTCCATGCTATTCATTGTAGGGGTTTTGGCATTTATCCAAAAAGTCTCAAAAGGTTTTCGCGCTGGTGTTTTCTTCTTGACACAGGTAATCTTTAGTACTAACACTCTGTTGTCCACTATGTTGTAAGAAACGCAGCCCATATTCTCTCTTATTTCGAGGCATACTCCAAAACTTATCAGACCTTAATTTTCATCATCAAAGAACCTCAAGAGTGGATGTATTATATAACAGCTCATACTGCCAATGGGAAACTGTTAGAATACTATCCTCACCCCGTTTAGAATTGGACCGGCTGACTCATTAGCATACGAAAAGAGTGGCTGAGAATGTATGTTAGGATCCAATGTTATGCAGTGAAGCCCATTTCGTATGGTCACAACGTAGTTTAATTCGAGTCATAATCCACCAGGTGCTGAAACGTGGTAGCTGGCGCACTAGAACAGTTTAAACGAATGCGGGAACAACTTATTGGAATAATATAACGATATATTTATTTATGTGATCTTATAAACTGATCTTCTTAAGCCGATGCGAGGTTGGTACAGATTTTCGTTATCGTTGTCGTTGTTTTTGATGTTATTGATCGATGGCTGACGTTTCGGCAACTTCGCCTTTCTCAGAGCCTGGACGTACTTTATGTTAGAATACTTTTTATTATTCGGTGGAAAAGAAAGGTTAAAGTGTTAATGAAGATCGGTCACTGACCGCGATGTTACGTGCGGGACTGACCCACACGTAGTTCACGTGGGGTCGCCAGCAAGACACGCCCCGGGGTCAAAATATCATTTTGAAATAGGGCGCCAGGTCACGCGTGATAGTGAGGCATTCGTCCTTTCTTTCGAATATAATGATATTTTCCTTGACCTAGTTTCTATTAACTTCAGCATTAAAAAATGTTCACTGTGTTATTGATAAGCAAACGCGAGGTGTTAGTTTATTCTTTATTGAAGGAAAGCAGACGTTTCGGCTGACTTCGTCTGCTTTAGGTCCTCGAAGGGTCAAGCTGCCTCCACAACAGGATACACCTACACGGTTTAATCCCATTAAAACAAAATAGATTCTCTGCGTACTCACCGCTATGCCGCTGTGGGCCTCCTGTCTACATCTCATTTCGGGTGTCACGTTCAATTACATTTACGGTGTATTTTTTAAACTCTACTTGAAATATACTCCGAATTCGGTTTTTACATTTCTCACTGTGAGAGAAAACACCTTTTAAAGAAATTCTCTACCCATTTTGTTCGAAGTTGTGGAACTGGCCAAATTCAAATCTTATCATGAAGTGATCAAACTCCTGTTAGCGCTGCAGATTCGGTTGTGGTTAAAGAAATGCTTAGAGAGTGTCGATTTACTGCAAGTTTTGAAATCCTCTCATGAATTTCTCTACGACTGAAAACATTGAAGTGGACACTTTCCACAGTTTGCCCTTCACCTTATGTTCCATCATATTCAAAAAAATATGCCGTGTTCACTGACGCTGTTTGAGGGAACAGCTGCGCATTGGTTTGATCAGGACCGGCAATAGTCTATTCGCATGTACATATCTTACAAGCATGTAGGACTCAAAAAGTGAAGCTATACGTCATACCGCGTTTCCTACTGTGGCATGATGGGTGTCGTAGAGAATGGAGAAGACTTCGCAGATGTTTCCTTCGCAGTTCAGCAACAGTCCCACATGGATATTGAAGGACGCCTTCCATGATCTTTCATAAAACGAGCGAAGTTACGACAAGCGTTCCAAATGCGTTTTCCTCAAATTGGAGTTCAGCTAGCACGAACGATATTTTCTATTCAAGGCGTCTTGTGAACAAACACAAATTAGATTTTTTATCTTCTATTTACTATTACTTATCTTATCTAGTTTTTTATACGATTTATCATTGTCTTACCGTCCACTAAAATGTTAGGTTGGAACTTATGAAATGCTCGATTTTATTGTTTTACTTTTCCATATAATTACTTTAAATGGAAATTTTATCTTCCATATATGTTCAATGTATGGTCCGCTATCGTTGATTTTTTCAAAATTTATAATTTTAACACTTTTATAGGCTTCAACTTTAGTATGAATCAACGTGATATTTGTGCCCCGTTTTGCACGAGTGGAGGAGTGAACATAATGTTGCAGCAGGAGCTCGGAATATCATCAAGTTTGGCGTGAAAGTAGTGTTGGTGAATCAACAGTGCGAACGTGGTTCCGGAATTTTCGATCTTGTGATTTCGACATCGAAGTTAAGGACGGGCGCGTACGTCCCAGTGAACTCGACGGCGGCGATTAGAAGGCACCAGTGACTCGAACAACTGTTCGAGAGGTTGCAGAACAGCTTGGCTTAAGCACAAGAGCAATTTCCACTGACTTGAATCGCGTAAGAAGGACAAAAAAATCGACAAGTGGGTGCCGCGCGAATAAAACGTCAACCAAAAAAATCGCCGTTTTGAAGCGTCGTCTGCCTCTTTTCTGCTCAACAAAAACGGCCCATTTTTAGCTCGAGTTGTGACGTACGAAGAGAAGCGGATGCTGTTAGACAAGCGGGAAGTCAGCTCAATGATTAGATTGGATCAGCCTCCACAGCATCTGGTAAAGTCGAATTACTCCAAGAAAGGTTATCTTGGCCGTTTGGTGGTCTGCAGCCTGGCTGATTTATCATATCTTTTTGAAACCGGGCGAAACGGTTACGGCAGAAAAGTATTGCCAACAAAGAAGTTGAACGAGGAATGAGCCGATCGAATTTTTCGATCACGGTATTGAGAATGACATCTTCCCAACAACCGACTAATGTACAGAGGAAATCGCTGTCTATGGTGGTTTTAGGACTTCGCTTTTTGAAATTATCTGCTTTTTCTGTTCTTCGCTAGAGGTGAGATCTTGCACGGTGAAGACGATGGTCTGATCCCTTGTACAATTTTGAGACAACATCGTCATTGGTTAGCAAAACCTTCGATTTACTATTATATGATCTATTTCGTTTTTGTTCCTCTATTAACCGACTATCCGCCAACTAGTGAAGCGCCACGTTACCTCGCGGGTAGTGGGCACAAAATCCCTCTGTTAGAGAGTGATCAGCGGCAAAGCACATGAAAAGCATCAAGCCGAGAACGAAGAGTTTTTTTATAACCATATTCTATTCAGAGAGCTGCACATAAATATAATTCAAAAACGTTAAGAATAAAAGGTATCAAAAAAGAAGTAGTTAAAAAAATAAGCGTTAGAGAAAAAACCGAGAGCGGAAAATTTCCCGTTTCAGCGACTAGTATTAAACAAAGCGGATGCGTGTTGAATGTTCGGGTAGCGTTCTCCGTTTATATGGCCGTTCTCAACAATGACTGGCAATCGTTTAATGCCTATATCACAGAAAGGTTTTGTGATTTCCATAGTTTTCATAATTATTTAGCAGTTATTAATTAACTGATCACCGATGATCAGCTAGTAGATAGAAAACAACTGGGATCACAGCCCATACTCTCATAAACTGTTGTGGATTTAGAAATATTCATTTCCTAACAAATAACGGACCGTGTGCAATGTAATGGAATCATACGAAAGGTGTTGACTAGCTCATGTGAGTTACATAACACAATAAATATATTAGTATATAACACATGAAATGTCCGATCTCGAAGGTAAACTTTAAATAACCACAACTTTTCCATTCTAATTTTATTAATCAAAATAAGAGCCATTGGAATGAGCACTTTATTTCCAACAAAACCCATGTTTACTCCATTAATATGGAAATTGTCCGTTCTAACATCAATGAATTCTTTAAAGGCCTTTTCAACGGTTATTTCGTTGTTGAAGACTTTTTCAATCAGAAAGTGGTCCAGATGCTAAAAAAAACTCGTTGGCGACAAACCTAGCGAGTAAGGGGGATGTGGTAAGGTTTCGTAGTGTATTTCATTCAGCTTTCTTAATGTCATTTGGGAAGCATGCGGTCTTTCGTTATCATGAAGCAATACTGATCCTTTTCTATCGATCACTGCCGGATGCTTGAAGCGTGGTTTTTGATGCATTTCTTCATTTTCGTCACAATATTTCTCTGACGTAATCGCTTCATCAAGTTGTAAGAATTTGTAACCGGTCATACCAGTCATTGACCACCAAACAGAAACCACTGTCTTCTTTGGATGCAGACTCAGTTTAGGCATGTGTCGTGGGTTCTCATCGGTGTCTAGCCGTTGTGCAGAACGGCGACGATTAATACCGTACAGTGTCCACTTTTAATCCCAAGTTATAATGTTATTCAAAAATGGATCTCTATCGTTGCGAATCAGCAGCGAATTTCGAATTTCCCAACGCTGAGTTGCTTTTCGTTGAGTTCTTGTACAACCCATTTGTCCATCTTTTTAACTTTGCCAATCAACTGCAAGTGACGTGAAATAATCATAACACTGACTACAAACACTGTTGCCAGTTCTCAGACCGTTTGATATGGATTTGATTCGACTAGAGTACGAAGGGCCTCATCATTCACCGCAATTTCTGGCATACCACGCTCTTCGCTTGCAAGGCTGTCGTTCCCAGCCTTGCGTACCAACGACAAATGGTGCATTCGTTAACAAAGCCGTCTTCAAACGCGGCATTATGTCCACTTTTTCACTCGTGCAAAAAAGGACACAAACATCACGTCGAGTCATCATATCAAAGTTGAAGCCTATAAAAATGTTAAAGTAATAAACCTTGAAAAGAACCAATACTGAGTACAGAAAGATCAGACTTTGCGCTTCATAAACATATTAAACACACATAAAGAACAAAATTTTTGTTTAAAAAATTACACGAAAAGTTAAAACAATAAAATCGGACATTTCATGTGTTCCTGTCTAATGTTATAGCAATGGCAAATCACAATTCCTGCCTGCAGTCAAGATCGACGGAGGTTATACGGAGCTCATTCATAGGCACCCGAAAGTAGTTACGATCTTCACGCTTTACCTCCTACCTTTATCAACAATCACCAATTTTCAAATGAAACCTGCAATGCTCGTCTACATAGAAAGTCGCACCAATCACGCGCACATTGCATCCAAGCGTTAGGTAAAGACCACTAGGCGTGCAACTGTAGAGCACCAATACCCGATGAGCCACCAGTTGTCGCCTTTCCGTCGAAAACGGTAAAACAATGGCATAATGCAAGAAATGTGATAGTCTTGGTGTCGTCCGAGCGATTAACGCTTGGGTTACATGGTACCCGCTCGGTTTCTTCTAGTGCAACAAAGTGTATCAAAATTATCAACCACAATAATGCAGATAGGGGCTTCGGGGACTCATCTCCTCATGTCATATGCAACTCTGCACCTCTCCCATTCGATTCCCAGAACGGCGGCCGTTACTCAACTAGTCGGCAAGGGACTATGTATGGGGCACAAGGATAACAATAGAAAAACCAAACTGTAGGGATGCTAACTAAACGAGTAGGATAATAACTCTAAGGCCATTTAAATACGTTCTCGAAAGGTGGTGCTTCGCGTAGATTCTGAGCTTCCTTCAAAGCACACACACCGTCAACCGCATCAGATAGAAAAGATGGCTAATGATGCTGCCTATGTAGAAAGCTTATGAGGAAACGATTCAATATCTTGTCCAGAAAAGGTGATCGAATGGAGTGACGCTACTCATGTTTCAAAAGGCGGAGATGATCGCAGTGCCGAGCCATCACGCGATGTTGCTTTGCCCGGTGGTTATAGAGAGCTACCGAGGTAGAGCAAGTACGCAAGTCTTGTGTCGAGGGATTACATACACATGATCAAAGATAAAATAAGGACTACTTTCTACAAGGCAGAATAAATCCACTATATCTACTGGGATACTTAAAACGCTCGTCTTCACGAGTTCTGCAAATTCCATTACATTTGAAATTGTTTCATTCCCTCGCAATCGTCGTCGATGATGGTGGCTTGCTTCGACATCGTGAAGGGTGCGTCTCTCTTACCGTGATCTCTAATAGAACCGCACTTCGGAGTGCATTTGACTGACTTCAGTTACAAACACATCCACCCAACGTATAGGTTGTAACGGCTCATAGCTCAAAAATATGAAAGGAGCTCGCGAGAGTGCGCAAGAACTATAAACCGTTTATGAGGTGCCTCAAACTTGGGTAATTGAACCTTTATTAGTATACACATGTTACTTACACAACAACGCAAAGCGATACACAATGTCTATTCAATAACTGCTAATGAGGTGGTTCAGTGGGTTTGTTACCTAATAAAATACATTAACAATAGTACACACACCAATGTAACGGCTCACAGCTCAAAGACATGAAAGGCGTTCGCGAGAGAGCGCAAGAACAATGAACCGTTTGTGGCGTACCTGTGAGGAATGAACGTATTTAACTTATGTTAACACGCACAACGTGATTACATGAAAACCAGCGATAACATTAATGTGTCAGCGATTCAAGGGCTAAGGATTACACGTACTATCATTATGACCTAAGCAAATGAATCTGCAAAGTAAAATCAAATGGAATAGAATTAATGATGGAGCTGGCGACGACGGTTTCCACGGCGTCATCGGGTTAAATGACGGTGCTACTGGGCGTGGTTACGTCCAAGCGAGCGGTGTGCCCTATGGCTAGAACGGAATATGGACGCAGAGAACGCGCGCGGCGTTGCATCTACGCGGTCTCCATCGATCCTTGGACTGCATTAGTTATGCAGATAGAGAATTCTCTATCTGATTGGGGAATTCTCTATATAGGTGGTCATCTTAAGGGACGCCGGCACTGTCGCAGAGTTCGCTCTATTCTAGTACCCACAGTTCTTTTCGTTAAACTATGGTCTGTTCTTTTCATTAGATGACCGGCCCATTCATAGTAGAATGTTTTTCCTGGATCTTGAAGATGGCATGCATTCGAAGACCAGGGTTTCGCATTGCGGCGGGAGATTGTGTGTGCCCATTAAATAGCAGAGGAAGGAGAACTCATGTTCTCTGTGAGTAGTGCATACTATTCCTGATCTGGTTGAAGTACCAGCCCACGTTTTTGCTGCATAACACGGCGCTGGGAGTACTGTTGAATTGTTAGGTGAGCCAGAAAGACAAGGTATAAGAGCGCCACTGGCAAGAATATGCCAAGGTTACAAGGACCGAACATGTCTGAGACTCTTCCTGCTACACGTCTGACATCCTCAGTGATCCAGTCACTTATGGTCACTTTTGTCCATCTGTGGCGTTTCTACGCTCTAGTGTTTTGTCCACCTTATCTTTAGCAGTTTGCCTTATAGAACGGCATCTTTGACTTTGATCGTTGATGCAGGTTGGAGCTCCGTATCCCTTTGTTGAGTTGTCTGAGAGAGGATATTTCTAGCATCGTCTTTTGACAGCGGGGTCAATAACGCCCATCCTGCTTGCACAGCGACCTGGTTTCTAACCCATACGTTAAGGTAGGAAGTAACTCCATCCTTGATGCTCTTGAAAGCTCATAAGCCACTCACATCCTTCGGCTCAACTCTAGAGTTAAGTCTTTCAGTCTCCAATGAAGAGCGTGTAGACAACAGACAGCAAGCAGATTCAGCGGTAGTTGTCGCGATTTTGTAGAAGTCACTATTCTTGAGCAATAACACCGTCCATTTGGTTTTCCATTAAATACTAACGTTGCATTCTGAGTCGTGAGTGTGTAGGAAGCCGAGCCAATGCTTTATTGAGGAGTGCCTGAAGGTTTTCCAGATGTTTAGCTCTTATGATGCCCGGACCGGTGTCATTCGATTCTTCACCAACGATGTATCACGTCGCATTTCGGAAGCAAGAATTGATGGGACAATATATCCATCCATAGCCTAGTGTTGGTACCCACCCAACAAACCTTTAGCGTATACGCCTAAATTGTGTTGTTAGTTGGTCAAATGAATCGATGTTTATGATCAAACTTGTCTTGACGAGAGCGTCGATACAGCTGACTTTTCTATTGTCGCATCTTCCAAAGAACAGTTCTTCTCCAGTGTCATAGACGGGGTTGAATGAGTGGCGACCTCTCGTCCCGGCATCATAACTTGCTCCTCTCTCCTGCCTGGTCAAGCCCTCTGTCGAGAATTCAGGTGTAGGTGAGCATACACTGCAGGTATACATAATCACCTAAGTCTCTTGCGATTTACGCAGCATAGAACGACCCTAAAATTTTAGCAGCCTCTCTGTAGTCGTCCTTTCCAGTTTTGCTGTAGCGGAGGTTTTTTTGGAATCAGGAAAATGCGCTTCACTTATTTTACTGCGTTGAGTGTTTGATACCCTCCTACAGTTTTCTGACCTCAGAACATGGAGGCTAATGGGATAAGAATACTCACGCGTATCCTGCCAGCATCTTCTAGAGTAAAGCTGTTTCCTGTTTGTTGTAGGCGATTCCCAACCATCTTCTATGCACTTCCTTGTTATTTGATTACCGCTTTTTGCTGAATCGACTCGAACGCAATCTGAATAGAGGCTAACACACCTATGCAAGGCTGCGAGAGCATAAGTGCTAAGGAACGAAAAATATGTGTCGCTTCGGCATAGAAAGAAAGAATCCTCGCTCTCGTTCGATTTGCATCTCAAAAAACCAAAAGGCAGCCCTTTGTCTACGCTTCACCCCCTACTCCACCTGGGAACGCATTGTGTTGCTGAGCCAATAACCCACTGGGAACCCCTCAGTGAGAGAGATCTAAGAAGAAATATAACAATAAATAAAATTAGGAAGTGAGGCTACTGGAGCAAAGTTTGGACAAGATGACAAAGACCATCTGAGAGTAAGCGTTACTTTGAGTAACGGCACCTACCCATAGTTGAGTAAGTATCATTTTCCTTTTTTACGTGACCCGTCCTTCAGAGATACAATACTAGGCCTCTCACTTCTCTCATTTGACTCGACTACTCTCAGCCATCATCCACAAAAGTCTATCTTCTAACCTTTCTTGATTGAGGGTTTTCCTTTCATCATGAATGTTTCTGAAGGCTCCGCGAGTAGGTTTTCCTTGGAGTGCTGAGCTAGCACCGCAAGAGTGTTCCTATTTGTACTGCAGATGGGGGAGTTTTCCCAGGAATTCAGGTACCACTTTCCTCACTCCGAAGAGATAAAAGAATTGGTGAGCCTAGGGCGCGATCGAACAATAACCATGCTCGTCGTGCTCAACATCACAATGAGTGTGCTATCTACCCTTATGGCTTCATTAATTATAAGGAATTTAAAGCTATAGTTGATGAGAGGGAATCCCGTTGTTTAGAACAAATATACAAACGTTTAATAATAGCGATTTTTTAGGAAAAGTTCAATTGTTCAAAAGAAGAAAGTTCACATTATAGCTGCTACACCACTAGCGGTAGAAAAAGTTCTGGTTCCAGAATTTGAAATAAGGGACGTGGACAGTATAATAAAAGCATTTGGAACGGATGACTCCCTGAGGTATTTCTTATGCATACAAGCCAGCAAAGTTTTCTGAGCACTATAAATTATCCTAGAGAGGTTGTGTACTGTAAATCAGAGACATTGTAAGGGCCTTATCACCGGTATCACCTGTAGTCTCGTTGATCGTTGAGTGACTCGAGCGGGAGCCAGTGAATCTTCTATTTTTTCTTGTCGTGTACAAGAGTAGCACAGGGGGCTCTGTTCGCTCTAGGGACTCGTCGAGCATTATATGTTTCTTCTCGGCTTTTCGTGAAGAACTACGACCATCAAGTCGGTGGTTTTCCTGCAGTGCGTTTAACATTCCGAAGAATCCAGTCACTAACGGCTCTTGTTGATCGGTTGTCATTCATATGGATTACGTGCCTGGCCCACCTCATCTTCGACTGTTTGGCGTACGGAACGGCATCTTTGATATTTTATCGTTGATGCAGGTTCGGTTCGGGCCCCTTCCCTTACTTGTGTGAAACGGGATACTCCGAGCATCGTCCTTTCGACTGCGCGTTCAATAACGCTGAGTGATCTTTCATCCTGCTTACGCAGCGGCCAGGTTTCTGACGCATACGTTAGGGCAGGAAGTACCGTTGAGTCGAAAAGGTGGGCACGGAGTCTGGTGTTCTTTGGCCTCTTCACTACATCCTCGATAGTCTTAAGAGATCCCTAAGTTGCTCGTTTCCTTCTGCTCAACTCTGGAGCGAGGTCGTTCATCACATTGATTTCCCGAACCAGATAGATATAACTGGAGCATTCGGAGACAATCGTTCCGCTAAACGTGAATGAGGCATGCGAAACCAATCTGTTCTTCACGAACATCGTTTTTGCTAGATTTAGTCGAAGACCAATCTTTCCATGGGGTTTATCATAGTCGGCAAGCATACATTCCTCTTGGCTAATGTTTGGTGTTATAAGGACGATGTCATCAGCAAAGCGAAGATGGTGTAACTGCCGGCTATCGATTTTCACTCCCATAATATCTCATTCCAATGTTCGCATGACGTTCTGGAGGGTGGCGGAAAATAATTTTAGCGAGATGGTATCGCCTTGCCTAACTCCTCTTTTGACGTCAATGTTAATATCGTTGTAGAATGGTGATACCTTGGTGGTGAAATTTTTGTACAGCTCACGAAGAATCCTTACGTACTGAGTAGAGACTCCTTGACTATCAAGGGCTTCCACGACTGCTTCTATCTCAACTGAACTAAAGGCCTTCTCTAAATCGATGAGAGTGAGACAGAGCGGTCTTTTGTACTCTCGCAATACTTCAATGAGCCTTGTTAACGTGTGGGTGTAGTCCATCGTACTAAATCCTTTTCGAAACCCTGCTTGCTCACATGGCTGTCCTTCGTCTAGTGTCCTGTCTATCCTGTTTAGGATGACTCGAATGAAGAGTTTGTAGACGACAGACAGCAAACAGATTGGGGAATAGTTGCCGATATCGCGTAGCTCCACTCTTCTTGAACAATAACACGGTCTTGTTGATCTTCCACTGTGTAGGGACCTTGCATTCAGACAGGGAACGTGTGAAGAGCCGAGCCAGTGTGTTTTTGAGGACTGGCGGATGGTTCTGCAGGTGTTCTGATCTTGTCCTGTCAAGACCTGCTGCTGTTCGAGTTTTCACCAACAAAATGGCATGTCGGATTTCGGGAGAGAGAACCGGTGGTACGACATATCCATCCTCTTTTTCTTTATATGACGGAAGATGAGCGTGGCTATGGAAGAGGTCTGAGTAGTACTGGTGAATGATGTTTTCCACTGCCTTTGTGGATGCTGTAACTGTTCCGTCCAGGCGTCGGAGTACAATCATCTTGGTCTTGTATTTGGCTAGGCTTCGGCAGGCTTTGCGTATGCTTTTTTCGATCCCTGCAGCTTCGACCATTGCTGCTTTTCTTTTCCCTTCAAGATCTTCTTTTAACGCATCTCCGCATTGTTTTTTAAGTTCGGACGTTAGTTTGCGGTTGCCTGCAGCTCGTGAGATTCCACGCTGGCGTATCTGTTCCAGTGTTTATGGAGACAGACGTCTCCTGGTGATTTTCGAGCTTTCAGCTTTCATAGAGCCATCGTGAAGATGTTGAATGAGCCGATCGTATTCTTCGTCGTTATTATCGACAACGGCATCTTCCCAACAACAGACTAATGAATTGAATAAGCCCCAGTTTATGATGGTTTTTGGACCTCGTTTTTTGAACTTAGCGACTTTTTCTCCTGTGAGAAATGCAATCTTGCACGAAGGAGGCGGTGGTCTAATCCTGTGTAGAATTTTTGGGACAACAGCGACATCGGTTAGGCAAAATGGGCTTCCAACTGGGAAACTTCCACGTCCAGCGTTGTGGGTGGGGCTTCTGGAATTGCGAATTACTATGGATAGTCATGGTGGGCATGACAAACTCAAAGAGCCGCTCACCCTGTTCGTTCCATTCTAATCCGTTGGTCTCACTGTGACGTTCTTCAGTCGTTCTTCTTAGTTCATTCCTGGCGTTAAATTTTGCAACGACGACGTTGAAGAATGTGTGGTCTTCTTTGTAGAACGTCTCTAATTCCATGTAGTCCATACAGAAGTAATCGACTTTTTCATAGCTTGATATCGGCGCTTAAAAGACGAAGATTGGCAAAGCCGGTACTGATCCAGATTTCTTTAAACGTAAACGACCGATTCGGGCTGTTAGTTGTTCGAATGAATCGATGTTCGTGGACAAACTCGTGTTGACGAGAACGCCGACGCCGCCGACTCCTCTACTGTTGCATGTTCCGAGGAACAGTTCTTCTCCGGTGTCACAGATGGCCTTGAATGGGTGGCTTCGTTATAGAGAACATTCTTCACGAATATTGGAATGTTCTCTATGTAAATCAATTATAACCTTTTCAAACATTTCAAATGCCTCTCCCATGACCTTTTCTCCATGACGATCTGATAACCTTTCCAAACAATTCAAATGATTCTCCCATGACCTTTCCTCCATGACGATCTGATAGCCGTATGTCTAACATTTCGCTGGCGCCTATCTCGTAAAATATCTGCACTTACGGTCCTAGGCTTTGAATATCGCCCTATCAGATCGCAAGGCTTGTGAAATGTTTCCAGCACCCGTCTTTCTGCTTACTGTAGCCCGACTCCGCCTACTGTAATCTGACTCCGCCCAGCGCAAAGGTATATAAACGGCTCCACGGTTAGCTAGCTCATGTCACAGCAATGCTGCCCAAGTCGGCATTCGTGCCTCACCTCCATCTCATGTAGTAAAAGTCATATGCCAATCTCTTCACTCATAAGCAGCCTGAACACCAGTGATCAGGCTGCGTCTATTCATTACCCGTATCATCGTCACATTAATTATACAGTTGTACTGTTATGCCAATCTCTTCACTCATAAGCAACCTGAACACCAGTGATCAGGCTGCGCCTACTTATAACCCGTATCATTGTTGCATTAATTGTAGAGTTGTATTGTTATGATTGTTGTATAATTATAATAAACGGTTTAATTACCCAAGTTTGAGGTGTCCGGCATTGTGACTACTAGCTACTTGGTATTCCTATATCATCGAGCCGTCCCAACAGTCGTCTCGTCTAGGCCAGGCCAATGTTGTCGTACCTTATCCTTCTTGCTTGCATGGGCAAGTCTTCTATCGAGGACTCGGATGCAAGTGTACCTGTATTGTAGCTACAGATCGTCACCATAGTTCTTTGAAATCCAGGCAGCTTCCATTGGCCCTGAGATTTTACCATCCTCTCCATACTCATCCTACCCAACGTTGCCGAATTGGGGCTCTTTCGGAGTCAGGGGAATGAGGTTCGTTTCTTTTACTGTTTTTAGCTTCTTCATACCCACGTATAGCTTGCTGGGCTCAGAACGTGGGGACTGGGTATACTCACGGGTAGGTTACCATTCCTTCCTAGAGTAGACGGGAAACTTATTTGTTGGAGGCTACTCCTAACCGCCTCCCATACGCTTCCCTGTCACTTCATTGCAGGCTTTTGGCCGAATTATCTCGTAGAATACAATCCGAATAACCGAGAACGCAACCACACATGCATGTGCGTATACCTCTCGCAAATAAAGAAAGTATGTGCCAAATCGGCGCAGCAGAAACAGGGAGTCCATTCCCTAAATCCACCTGCGTCTCAGGGAAGCAAAGGTTGCTTTTGGTCCGCGATTAACCCCCTATCCGCCACCTGGGAACACGCCACGTAGCCTCGCGACTAGCCGGCTCGAGATCCCTCACATGAAGGAGAACCGTGGTGCAGATGATAGAGATGCGAAATCAAATCTATGCTTACTTGGCTGCTTCGTGCTCATCTAACTTCCCTTTCTTTTTCATGCGACCGTGTAGCTCCTTGCCTTCGGCAAACTTCAAAATAATGTATACTCGTTCTTGGTCATGAAGATAGCCCTTTAGCCGTAGAATATTAGGATGCCTAAATACCGCAAAAGCATGCAGAAAGATTCCAGCCATCTTCCAAAAGCCGTCAATATTTGTTCACCTACTTCAAATGATACTGCATTTCAATCTCACGTTTCACCTGATGCATTGTGCTTTTTAAGTTGGTCCTTGAAGAGAACCTGAATAGTGCCGCTGAGAAACCATATTGGAATACAACCACAACGATGAGGTAATGTCATCTTTTCATTTACTGCCTATTACATTTTTTTTTCACGGCAGGTTATTATGTGTGACTCAACCACAATGATGATGAGATATTTGAACAAGTCCTGACCACAGATGACTGCGATTGGGAGCGAACGCGCCATTACTCTTTCCGGGAGCTAACGCGTTCACCACCACACCATACGGGTTGTGGTAGTTGGCCAGTGAAATATAGAGTGGTAGTTGGTCGGATTTGTCTTCTGTCCACCAACTGCAGGTGGAATGCTCGACTTTGTATGGGTTAGTCACGCGGGTCTTTTTCCGTAACTGCCGTGAACAACCAAGAGTTTAACTTATAACAATTTATAGCAATAATAACAGTACAATAATAACAATATGACGATATGTATTTAGCTGAACGGGAGCAAGGAGAAAATGCAAGCACTGGTTTGATGTCTAATGGCACCCCTTATTTTCTTTCTGTAATGAGTGGGGTTTCACAGCGGAAATCAGAGAGAGTGGTCAAAAAGAGGTTATGAATCTTTTCAGTTAGTAGGGCCACTTGTACAGAGGGTATGTGAAGCCTATACAATGCCTTATACAGAAAATGCATTTTATAGCGATGTGGTGGCTTATACAGAAAGTGCATTGGAACGAGCGATTCTTGAAAGTACATGCAGCGGTCGCTTATTCAGTGCCCAAAATGTTGGACAAAGAAGAACGGTTTACACAAAGAAGTTACGGTATCACATTTTAGCCAGCTGCGAGGCAAATGCCTGAGACAGTCGCTAAGAGGCAGTTTACAGAATGTGCAAGAATGGATGTATAATGATTACAAGTAAACGGTTATTATAGAAGAAATAAGGTAATATACAAAATAGGATGATATAGAAATAGGAACTATTTGAAGAATAGTTATTATACGGGTCCTTGATGTCGCTGTCTCTGAGCTAGTTCTATCGATCAGGCCATCAGCAATCACCCGTCAACGGGATTAATCTGGGGAGTCCAAGTCGGCAACGAACCCATTTGAGCTAAGGATGTAGTCTAAATCACAATGTCAACTTTTTATTTACTGCCTATTGCATTTTTTTCACGGCAGGTTATTATGTGTGACCCAACCACAACTATGCTGAGATATTTGCAAAACTCAGAACCGCAGGTGTCTGCGGCAGGGATTGAACCTCGTTGTCACCCTTTCCAGGTGCTAACGCGTTCACCATCACACAAACCGTTAGGGCTCTTCGTTTCGCCTCGCTCTGAGTTAGTTTCCTTTATACCTGTGCCGTCAGCAAACATGCATCCGAAGGATTGATCCAGGGAGCACAAGTCCCCATTGAACCCAGTGATTATATTGGAATACACTAAGGATAACAACTACTGAACGAAATTCGGCGATGTACTAATAATTCCGTGGAAGCAGTATGCAAATGCTAAAGGTCGGTTTCATTCTGGCTTGAAGAATCCCTTGCATAAATCGATGCACCCTTTCAAAAATCGATAAGCCTGGAAATCACGTGCCTTTAATGCGACAACGACCTTCTCTTCTTTCGAACGGGCAAGGAACACGGACCCAAATTTCCCTCTCCCTAGAGGACGACCCACGTCGAAATCATCAATAACCCAGGTCCTTGAGATCTGCTGAGATCTGAAATTGAAATCGAATAATTCAAAGGAGAGCAGCAACATTTGTGTCAAATAGAAGACCGAACAGAACGAATCAGATGTAAAGACGAATGAAAAGCCTACTCGATTTTTGCACCCTCCGAGTCTACAGCGTTAGAGTCTCCAGAATTATGACTAGCTTCTCCCTACAAATGGCCGCTTACTATTTGAAGCACAGTACCGTAAAATTGGATCGAAGTAGTACGAACTTGTGTTCCAGCCACTTGCCGCTCCACTGTCTCGGCCATTTCAAAAGTTTGGGGTTACGAGACGTTAAACTGGTTAACGAGAAGGGAAGGTATGAATGAAAATTACGACCGAGCACTAGAACACAACGACTGTAAGCAACCACTCCTTCAAGGTGAAAACTAGAAATTTCCATATGAAGAGCGATGAAGAATTTACCGCCATGAGATCACAATCGTAAACACAGGACGCTATCTGTTAGAAGTTATCTGTTATGATAAGAAGCACTTTATGAAATTGTTCTCAGTAGTACACCTTGCGATAAAGTACTAACTGGTGATATTGAAGAGATGCTCTCATTGAATTCTACAGCCCTCATAATGGAAACGTATTCAAAAACTTGTCAGCTCATATCATGCTCACTGTGGAATTCTGCGGACTTTTCTTTTCCATCACTGTTCCTACCCGATCTAAAGGTGTTTCCAGAAGGGCTGAAATCTCCTGGGAATATCAGGACACTGCAGTTAATTGTTACATGCCGAAGCCTATGAAATGAAATGCCTATGAAATGACTAAACAGTGAATCTTTTTAACTTGGTCACGATGTATTATTGATTTCTATTACTAGTTCCTTCTAATAAGAGTACACCTCCCAATGGTTTGTCATCTCATTGTGGCTGGAAAGTATTCCTGGGTATCGGAACTGCGACGTGCAGCGGAGGGACTCATCCCGAGCAGAGTCTCCCATGCTGAGTCCGGCGTTTCCATCAGGAAACCCAGTAAGCCAATACCGGAATCCACCACCGTCCTTGTATCAAACTATTCGCATGGTGGCAAATCTCTCTCCGATCCACAAGGGCGGCGACTGTTTGTGGTCGTAACGACCTGGGGTAGACTATGGTCCGGCTGACCTCAGAACCTCAGGAAACCACAATAGGTAAACCAGCAAAACTCCGAAAAATGGAGAGTATACTGAGGCCCGCACAACAAGTGATGACGGGTCATCCAAATATCTTAATATCGAAATAATAACAGTTGAAATACTCTTCTGCTTAAAAATGGCTATTTGCCGCGCCAAGTTCTGGGACTCCTCTCTCTGCTCTCTTCCTGTGCACACGCTGGTAGCTGTTCGAAATATGTTTCTCCCAAGTGTCCCTTTCGTGTGAGAGAGATGAGAGGAGAGGTAATAGAGAGGCAGTAGAGAGAGAGAGAGAGAGAGAGAGGAGAGAGTAGAAGCAATAGAGAGGAGAGCAGATAGAGTTGAGAGGTATTGGGCAATATATAAGCCTGTTATTTTGATGAGATGGGCACAATACGATTCCGTGTGAACTCTCTGCCGTTGCTCTCCACGTGACATATTTAGTGGAAGACTCATAGAAAGCGGTAAGTGTGCAAAGACTCTGTGTTCAATGTGATTGAAATTTTCGCTCAGCATTTTCTCTGTTGGCTTATGGAGGTGTTTGGCCGTGTAGCAGTCAACTTGACCATTCCAGGCTCTGAGGAAGGCGAAATCCTCCGAAACATCAGCTTATACGTAAATAAAGAAATAAGGTAACACCTCGTGTTTGCTGACCAGAAATAGAAAGAGTTATTCAATCAATGCCGATGTGAATAGAAAGTCCGACTTGGGAGTTGTCTGATCATTGTTGTCATTCAAGTGATCTCGCCCTTGGATGACTTCCAAGTTAGTAGGTTTTCATGAAAAATTTTCTGGAAATAGAATATATTTTTGCTTATCGAATG